AAGGAAGGAAGGAAGGAAGGAAGGAAGGAAGGAAGGAAGGAAGGAAGAATCACAGAGTTGGAAGGGACCTTGGAGGTCTTGTAGTCCAACCCCAGCTCAAGTAGGAGACCCTATGCCTTTCCAGACAAATATTTTTTTCCAATCCCCTTTTAAAATCCCTTGGTGATAAGGAAGGAAGGGAGGGAGGGATAACAGACTTGTAAGGGACCTCGGAGGTCTTCTAGTCCAACCCCCTCCTCAGGCAGGAAACCCTATACAATATCAGACAAATGGTTGTCCAGTCTCTTCTCTAAAATCTTCCAGTGTTGGAGCACTCATGACCTCTGGTGGCAAGTAGTTCCCCTGGTTAATTGTCCTCACTCGCAGGGAATTCCTCCTTAGCTCCAGGTTGCTTCTCTCCTTGGTTAGTGCCCATTGCTTAGAGTTGGGGGGGGGGGGGTCTTCACACTTGGCAGCTGGCAGACTTGTGGCCTTCAACCACCCCCAGGATTCCTCCCCCCAGTCCTGTTACCTGAGGAATCCTGGGAGTTGAAGTCCACGAGCCTTCAACTTGCCACGTTTTGAGGCCCTGGGACGAGACCCCCCCCCCTCCTCCCCCTTTCCAAGCTCAGAGACCACCAAGGACTCGCCCCCCCCCCCGACTTCAGCCCTGAGCTGCCCAGTTTCTCCTCTGGGGGCTCAGCCCCTTCTCCCCCCTGCAGGAGATCGCCAGGCTCCGGAGCAGCCACGCGGGGCCCCCCAAGGCCAGGGAGGCTTTGGGGAAGGGGGGGGATTTGGACCTGGGCCCAAAACCACCCGTGGGACCCACCCACCCCCGGAGGGGAAGCCTGCACGAGAGCCGCCCCCCCCCACCCGAAGACGAGGAGCCCCGGGGGGGGTAAAGGGAGGGGGGGGCTGCACCCCTCACCTTCTGGTGGGGCGGGAGGCTGCACCAGTGGCGGCGGGGGGCCGGCTGGGCGCCGCAGCGGGGGGTCGGCAGCAGCGGGGCGGGGGTCCCTCCTCCCCCTCTCCCCCCCCAGGAGGGGGCCCCGGCGGCGGCGGCGGCCCAGCATCCCCAGGCGCGGCCCCGGGCAGCCCCCTCCGCCCCCGGCAGCCGAGCCCCACGCGGGGCCGCGCCCTGCCACGCCAGCAAGCGCCTGGCCAGCACCCGCCACATTCCCGGGCCTCGAGGCGGCGGCGGCGGCGGCGTCCCGGTCCTGTCAGGCGGAGGGCGGCCGGGTGACCTCCCTTCTCCCCCCCACACCGCGGACGGGCAGCAGCGTGCCGTGCGGCGCGGAAGGGGCGGGGCGCGACGGTGCCGCAAAAGGGCCGTCAAGCCGCGCGGAAGGGGGGCGGGGCTTCGGCCGGCGCGGCCTCACCCCAGGCGACCTGTCCCCCCTCGGCCACGCATGCGCTCTGCTGCCCAGAGTCCTCCGTGCCTGGACTGCTGCTGCAGGTGGAGGTGCCCTTGCTGCAGATCCGCCCCCCCCCCAAAAAAGGGATGGGGTGGGCGCGGGTCGGAAGCCGGGGTGGACTTCGTGTTAGGGGGAGAGGCCTGGATGGGCAGGCCGGGCTCAGGTGCAGCCCTTTCCCCGCTTTGCACCGGACCCCGATGCGGATGCAAGCAAGGAGGGGCTCCCCTGCAAGAAATAGGAGCGGTGGGGGGTCCTCTTCGCACGGTGGGCTCTGCGCCCCCTTTCTCGCCCCCCCAGAGCAGGCATCCTCTGCGTGCCCCCCCCCCCAAATATCCCCCCCCAGTAATGCGCGGATCCTTTGGATCGGGTATCCCTTTGCTCCCCTTTGGATGGGCGGTGGTGCAGGCTGCAAGTTGGCAGGCAAGGAGCGAGTTTTGCGCGCACCTTGCGCGGCTCTCTCGGAAGAGAAGCGCATTTTCAAAGTTCTTTCTAAGGAGCCGCGGGGATGCAGGGAGGGAGTCCTCACCTTAGGACCACAATTTAGCCCAAAATCGGCCGTGGAGCGAGGCATTGGTGAGTTTTTGCCCCGTTATACCACCTGTCTGCCAGCCGTCATTAAGCGAATTCGCTGCAGTCGTTAACTTAGTAACCCGGTCGTTGAGCAGATCTGCCTTCCCCAGAGTTTGCTGGTCAGGTGGTCACAAAAGGGACCAGATGATCCCTGGGACCCTGCAGCCGTCGTAAGTAGGAGTCTGTTACCCAGAATCTGAATTTGGGGAATGCTGCTGCCAGTCGTGTGAAAAAAAATGGTCATAAGTCGCCTTTTTCAATGCTGCTCTAACTTCGAATGGCCACTAGACGAGGAATACATAATTGGGGGAATTGTGTTTGGGGGGGGGGGGGTCTATTACAAGTCTGCCGTTGTAATTTTGTCACTAAATGAACTGTTGTAAGTCAAGGATTCGCTGTATAGGAAACAACATCCTACGTTGAGACTCGGGAAGCTGCTTTCCTGTTGCTTTCTTGCCCTCTGGAAAAACACTCAATTCCCCCACATCATTCCCGCCCCCTTTGCATCTTGAGTCACAGGTCAGAAAACCCTTGAATGAAAAATTCCATGCTTTTCATCCTGGTGAAGGTGGTTTCTCTGCTCCTTTTCTGGGGGCTGGAGTGGCCAAGGCTTAAAAAGTAGCCAAGGGTTTAAAAGTTAAAAAGGTTAAAAAGGTACAAATCCTGCTCTCCTGCTGGATTAAAAAACCCATCATCCCCAACCAGGATTGGCCCTGGGGTTAAGACCGGTTCCAATCCAACCCATCTCAAGAGCAAACAGGCCGGGGATGGTGCCAAGGCAGAATAAATGATCCCGAAACTGGTAATGCAACACTGGTTTATATTGTTTCAGGGACAAAGTTCAGAGATACCGAGGTTAAAGAAAAGGAGATTGTTTTTGTGGAAATAAAAGATGCCAAACTGGTCCTAGAACACTCTTGCACTTCTATTTGTCCCCATGTCTGGCGGTAAAGCCCTTGTGATAAAGATGTCTTGATTAAATTTAAATAAAATATGTTCTTTTTAAAAAAATATGTACAGTTTTAACTTTAAAGCACATCTCTTGCTGAAATGATAAACTTTTTTTTAAGTAGCCGTAATTCCATGCAATCTCTTTGCAACCCACTAAATTCATGCAACAGTCAAACCAGTCGCAAAAAAAAAAAGTATTTTTTTTTCCAGGAATGACATCCCCTCATCCACTGTTCTCTCAAAAGCCAACTTTAAAGTTCCTGTCGAATAGGATACACTCAAACTGTAACTGCAGATACAAAAGGCCTGTTCTTTTGTCTGTACACAGAGGACACACTAGGACAAACAACATACAAATCTTCTATCTGCAACGAACAAAAAAGTACAACAGAAGACCGCTGTGGACTTCAGATATACCTTCATAGCAAAATAAAGCTAATTACGGAAACCGGGTGGGTTGGCATTTCACAAGAGGCCCATCTAAAGCCTTTCTGCACTTCCTAGAAATACGGATAAAATACAATATTCAGAAATATACAGAGGAAAAAAACAGCACTCAACGCTGGTATAAAAATATACACGCTGTCCTTGTTCAACAACGATGTGAAGCAATACAAAGAAATTCCAAGAAACAGGAACAAGTTTTACCCAACAGACGTGTGGAAATCTATAAAATGATCAACGACACGATTTCTTACTGACCTTCAGCCTCCCTGCAAGGACACAGAAGACGGACGGACATCGGTCTTTCCGGTGGCCGGTGCACACTAGTGGCCACAAGGTTTGCAACGTTAGGAAAGGTGGAGTGGTGAACAGCAAACCTCATCCTGGCTTTCACTGGGCCCCCATTTTTTATTCAAGCAGCGCCAGGATGTTTGGTTTCACAAGACGTGCAAAATGGGTTCCTTCCCAACTCCGAACTCAGCGTTTTCGAGCACAAAACACGAAGAGAAGTTTAGAAGGAAAAAGTAACCCTGTGATCACAGACCCCACAGGTGGGCAGGTGATGTGACATCACAATGGCCTCTTATAGACACACCTTACCTAGGTGACTTCACACCTGGTGACTTGGGGTCTCCTGCAGGGGTGGGATGCTCCTGGTTCGGCCCGGTTCTATAGAACCCGTAGCTCTGAAGGGCAGCGGACACCGAAACGGGAAAAACCTTTTGGTCGTCTGGCCCACCCGCCTGCCCAGGCTCTTGGCTGTCCTTTATTGCCTGCTTTTTCAACTTGGCTGCTTTGCCGCAGCACAGCTGAGGTCGAAAAAGCAGGAAAGAAGTGGATTTTCAAACACTGTGCCCACCCAGGCACAGCTGGTGTTTTTTGCAATTGTTTTACACGGGCGCGCAGCGTGCAAAACGCACTCTGACCGAACCGGTAGTAACACCGGTTGAATCCGACCCCTGGTCTCCTGCCTGATTCCTAAGGAACTGAGGCTTGTGTAGAATAACGACAAAACGCTTTGTGTATCGAAATAGCCCCCCTTAAATGCTCAAAACCTGTCCAGGGTTGTTTTCCCTCTAAAGCTACGAATGAGTAATTCACCCCTTAGTGCATTTATCTCCGACCTCTGTACAAACTCACTTGTCTGTAAAGTTTATGCTGTTTATGTTTGAAATCTGACTGGTGCAATATTCGTACAACTTCCAGAGCAGCTAAGATCACCAGAGGGCTGATTTCCAAAGGCCGACCATTGCAGTCTGCACTGGGCTGAGCCACTCGTTTTGGCTCCGATATTGGGGCGAGCATGGAGGGCCAAAATTAATTTCTGGTTGAGGCCAAACAGGGCAGGTGACTTACTTGCTGTCAGCAGAGGAGCCAGCAGGACAATAGGAACAAGACAGTTGCTGGAGTTGCACATAATACCATCAAACCATGAAAAAAGGGGCCTGGAGCTTTGCTTTCTCTCACAGATCTTCCAGGGATCTTAACTGCAATGTTTTTGTGAAAGTTTCTCACACACCCCTCCTTTTCTCTACCCAACTCAGCTGATTAAGGCAGGCTGAAATTAGCCATTAAGTAGAAAAATCAATGCCAAATTCAGATCAAGCTACGGGGAAACCAGAGGTCAGCTTTCCCCCACTGATGCTGCTGGGGATGAATTAATTAAAGAGCATCCGGAGGGAAAGTAGGACAGAGGAGATCGTGTGGTGCCAACGCAATCCTGGAAAAGCAGAGATGGGAAGGTCAGGATCTTCTTCCCAGGCAAAGCCAGAAGGGGCAACCTGGGCGGCGAAGCAACGGGTAACAATATTTTACACAAAATAAAGTAAGGAAAAGCTTCAAGACCAGAATGCAAAACAATAAAAGCAGATGTAACAATCCGTGCACCTTCCAACTCAATGTTGTGGACTGGACCTTCTTTGATCTGGACCACAAACCACTGGGTCTCCAGAGGAGATCTTGCTGGTGCCTGATGTGGGAAAATTGGCTGGCAAGAGCTACAACGGCGCTGGGAAAGAATTCCTAGCTTTGCCCATCACAAATGCGCTGCAAATCTTCTCGTGATACTGTCCCATCGTTGACTGAACTTCTCCAGATGATCGAGAAGCAGCAGGAAGTCACGTCTTTTGGGCCCGTCCCTGACCGAGTAGAGAGGCAGTGTGATGGAACGGCCGAAAAAGGGGCCGTATTTGGTTGTAACGTGCGGGACCTCCTTCCTCAAAGCCCCAAGTTCATCGTGGTTCCTTTTCTTTTGGCAGTTTAAATCACACGTATCAACATTTGTGTGAGGGTTTGGGAGGTTTTTTTTTTTGGTGAGTATCTGGCACATCCAGCAGCCGACAGCGAAGGTTTTAGTTCTCTCCATGGTCCTCTTCCACCCAAGCCACAATCTTCCCTTCCCAGCCAGGAATGATATCATCATCATGGAAAACCTACATGGAAAGCAAAGAGAAGGAAAGTATTCATCCATCCATCCATCCACGGCAATATTTCTCTTCCGACCCAAATCTTGTTCCAAGGAAACAAACACGAAACGGAGGTAACAGCCAAACCTTTTAATGATTCTTTACGAATTCCGTTCCTTCACGGCTAAAAGGCTGTTTCAAACTAATTGTCTCTGATAAGAACGAGCCTTGCCAAGGTGGTGCAAGGCTGCCAAGTATACTAGATAAAGTTACTAAGAAATATTTCAAACACAAAGAGTCTCCAAACACCAACCAAGATATTCCGAATGTCCACAAGGCTTGAGTGCAAAAACGTCTTTGCTTCCTGCAAAGAACTCCGGTTTCTCAGCTGGCTTTTATCTCTTAAGGGAGGGGCCATCACCTTGCAGCCTTCCTCCCGATTCGCCCGTGCTGCTGCAGCTGCTCCTTCCTTTGAGCAACCCTGCACACACTGGGCACAGGCTCCTCGGGGTCCTCTTCCTCACTGCTGCCAGCCTCCACAATCTCCGAAGGCAGCACCTCACTCCCTGATGGTCCTGGCCCCATCCCTGCATCACACGCAGGCCCCTCATCTCAGTCCTCGCTCTCCGAGACCCCAGCCATCTGGACCTGCTGCCAGCGAACCACAACAATTTTTCAATCTTGGCTAGGGAGTTCTGGGAGTTGTAGACCACACATCTTAAAATGAGAAACATCACTCCATCCACCCACCCACTCATCCACAGCAATGTTTTTCAATGTTGTCAACTTTAAGATGTGTGTCATGCCCCTGTTGGAGTCTGACTCCGAGGGAGAGATGGAACAACTGACAGGGAATGGGACTGTGGCTCAGGTGGTTATGGAGAAAACTGGGGAAGGGCACAGGCCGGATGGGCATTCAGAGAAAGGGCCACCCCCTCTTCATCCTAGGGCACGCAGGAAGGAGCAGATAAGGGAGAAACGTGAGTGGTGTGGTCTATGGGGGAGGAAGGGGCCCTGATCCCCTTCATGGGTTGCAGCTGGGAGGACTGGTTAAAAGGACAAACTGCGCATGGCAGTTTGGAAGCAAAGCGTGCATTATTCTTGTCGGAGCTTATCTGGGTTTTGGCTTCCTCCCAACCGTGGTTGCTGCATTATCTGGTAGAAGTCTGCAATTAATCATCCTTGCCTGCAGAAGTAATTCCTTCAGTGTGGCTTGTGTTGGTTTTTTTTATTTTGAATTAACTTTACTTTGGGTGTGGACTGCATTTACTCCCTCCGTAAACTATTTTAAGAGTTTGATATCCTGCCGAGAATAATTGGACATTGGGGGGCCAAGTTGGAGGCATTAAAGGGACTTTATTCTATTTTTGTGACTTGGTTATTTTTGTGTCACACCCCAGGTCATCACAATGTGTGGACTTCAACTCCTAGAATTCCCCAGTTGGCTGAGGAACTCTGGGAGTTGAAAACCACACATCTTAAAGTTGTGAAAGTTAAGAGAAACTGGTTGGTCCATCCAATTTATAAACCACAGGTAGTCCTTGATCTAGTTCATTTAGTCAATCGATCTGAATAGAGCTGGAAGGGGCCTTTGAGGTCTTCCAGTCCAACCCCCCTGTTCAAGTGACCAGAGTTACAACAGGACTGGAAAAAGTGACTTATGACCATTTTTCATACTTATGACCATTGCAGCGTCATGTGATTTACATCCAGATACTTAAGCCTGGATTCACTTTACAGTGGTGTTTGTAATTTAACTAGTGCAGTGATTCACTTAAACAGATGTGGCGCAAAACTCAGTAACGAATGTCTCACTTAGCAACCTAAGTGTTGGGCTCAATTGTGATTGTAAGTCAAGCGTGACGTGTACTCATTTCACTCACAGAGCAACAACTCTGGGCAGCGTACAATTAAAGCATAGAAACCATAGCAGCCTTGATTAAAAGATCGTGAAACAGCCCAAGGCCACCTGCACCTACCTGGAAACCCGCCTGCAATCTCTTCTTCAGCATTCCTAGGACAGGTTGTCGAGTTGTGTCATCACAATTCTTGAGAAACCACACCACACTTCTGCACCCAGCCAATGAGAACTAAAAACTCACATCCCTGGAGCTCTCTGGAGGGAAAAACACAGCTGACCCACTTTTCTAGCTGACTGGGACGTTCTTGTTTTTCAGGCCTGCAGGGTGTGATTTTTCTCATGCTCACACATGCACATGGGCACACATGTGCACGCACACACACGCCCACACTTCCCTGCCCCTTGGCTTTCGCTCCACCGGTGAGAGCCGAACGCGAGCATTTCTCCAGGGAGAAAAAACATCCCATCCTGTGGGGCAACTTCTGCAGTCCATACAAAAGATTCTGGTCTATGGGGGGCTGTGGGGACAGACTCTGGAGCTCAGTTTGGGGAAGGAGGAATAAAGAAAAAATCACTTTGTGTTGCTATGCAGGAGCTGCCCCAGAAAAGATCCTCCCTAAATCCTCCACAGCGTGTCATGCCCGTTAGAATCTGACTCTGAGGGAGAGGAGGAACAGGAAGACCCAGGCCCATCCCCGCTTCATCCTAGGGCACGCAGGGAGGATGGGATAAGGGAGAAACATGAATGGCATGGTCTACGGGGGAGGAAAGGGCCTTGATCCCCTTCACGGGCTGCAGCTGTGAGGACTAACTGCACATGGGCCAGTGCTGGAAGCAAAGCCTGAAAATATTTCTAGTCTGTCTGTTCTTATCTGAGTTCTGGCGTCCTTCCCAGTGTGTGTATTTCGATATCTGTGGACGTCTTCAAGCCCTTACCCCGCCTTGTCTCAATTAATTGCTTCAGTGTGGGTTGTGTGGTTTTTTTTCTATTTATAATTTATATGTATTTTGAGTTCGAACGGAAGTTCTTCCTTTTGCGCAACTGTTTGTGGGGGGAGTTTTTTCTCCAGCCAATAATTGGACCTTCAAAGCCAAGTTGAAGGAAGTAAAGGGGCTTCACCTGTTTTTGTGACTTTGTGGCTTTTGTATCCCACCCTGGGTCATCACACAGCCTTTATCAGATAATTATGCAGAGGCTGCTTTAGTCTGGCAAGATTCTGTCCCCTGGCGAACGGCAGTCTTGAAATCACAGGCAGTCCTCAACGGCCCACAATTGAGCCCAAACCTTATGTTGCTAAGTGAGACGGTTGCTAAGAGAATTTCACCATTTTATGACCTTGCTCGCCACGCCTGTGAAGTGAGTCGCAGCCCTTGTTAAGCGAGGAGCATCTGTCGTTAAGCGAATCCAGCTTCCCCGTTGACTTCGCTTGTCAGTAGGTTGCAAAAGGGGATCAAGTCATCCCTTCCCCGGGACGTTGCAACCGCCATAAATGTCAGTCCGCTATCAAGCATCCAAATGTAAATCACATGACTGTGGGGATGCCTCAACGGCTGTAAGTCTGAAAAATCGTCGTACGTCACTTTTTCCAGCGTTCCCGCAAATTCGAACAGTCACTAAATGAACATTTACACATGTTGTTCTTGGTTCTCGTGCCTGCCGGGTAGGCCCTTACCTCCTCTTTGACCGTCCCAAACTCTGGATCCAGAGCTTTGAAGTGGTACCGGTGTGTCCCATCCCGGTCGATCGCCGATTTGAAGTCCCTTAGCGTCACTTCCCCTAACCTGCAAAGCGCAAGAGGAGAGGAAGGGGCATGTTCTGACCCAAACTTATGGAGACACTAACAAACACACATTAGTCCCGAAACCCTTTTTTTCTTCATTTCAACGGTTGTGAATTTTAGTCATTCACAGCCCGTAATGAGTCTCACACAGTTTGTAAATAGTCCCACGGAAGTCTGCCAAAGTCCTTCGGGATAAGGCTGATAAGCACCCACCTTTATCTTCCTTGAAATGCTGCCAAAGACTAAATTGCCAATTAGTTATACAAAGCCAAACAGCACAAATTCAACACAGAGCTTCAGGTTTCAAACCAACCAGTACGAACAACATTGCTTCCTGCAAAGACTCCTGTCCCTTTGCTCCTCCTTTATGTCTTAGCGGAGGACCCAATCACCTCCAAGCCTTACTCCCGAGTTGCCCCTTTTGTCTTAACTGTTCTTGCCCCTGGCAGCTCTGTGCATGTGCGCAATGGGAATAGGCTCCCTCTGCTCCTTTGCCTTACTGATGTCAGATTCTGGAGGCTCCAGAATCAGCACATAACTCCCAGATAGCCCTGGCCCCATCTCTGTATTGGATACAGGACCCTTGTCCGAGTCCTCCCCAGACTCCAGCACTGGCCCGTGTTCCTCCCCACTGTCCGACTCTCCTGCCATCTCCGCAGGCTGCTGGTGGACCAAACAGGGCATGCTAACACCAGGCTGGATGTCAACCTTCCTGCTGGGATGGGAATTCCCTTGGAGACACCCCAGTTCTGGGGTCCCAGAAAGAGGATCTAGGGTTGGGGGAAGGGGAAGGGGAGGAATGCAGGCCTACCTCTTTGGAATGCTGACCATGAAGGGGGTGAGGGAGCGATCGGTGAAGTACAGCACTTTGGTGCAGGCGCTGCTGCTCACGGCTGGCGTGCTGTGAGAATGAGGCAGTTCTGCAGACAAATAAGAGAGACAGGCTGAGCCACCGGGCAGAGGGCCCACGTTCTCCTGGCGGCCACAGATTTCATCCCCAAAGCCTTCTTAATCCAACAGGTCAGATTTATTCCCCGCCACAGACTAAGAGATGGATCAGAAAAGCTTTCCCTTCTGTGGCTCGCCGTGCCCTGAGCTGAAAAAGAAAATTGCAAAATGAGCCACTGGAGGGGGCAGAAAGTGTGGGTTTTTACGTGGCATCTTTTAAAAAAGAAATGGGGGGATGGGGAACGGGGGGGGGG